TGATTTGAGTTTCTTCCATAAGGAGGGGACAACACACCTGGATTAGACCACGTATGTTAGCAGTGTTTTTATTTATGAAACTTTTGCATGTTTCCTATGCCAATAAGTAATTTTAACTAAAATACAGATTGTATCTCTTACATCTTCCTTGTGTCATTGTGTGGATGTCTCTACTCTGTTTTTAGAAAGAGCTGATGCATCTTCAAGTTGAATTTGGACACACTGCAATTTAGAATAAACAGATAAAAAATTCTTGACGTGTTCACAGTGGAAATTCTGAGTGTGGACTCACTTCATATATTTCTTTAGAAGTCTAACTTTGTGTTTGAATAATGAAGGAATTGCATAGATTTTCTGTCAGTAAATTACAAAACATAAGAAGTCATCTCGTATGTAGATGCTTCCTTTACAGGTTGCAACCACGAGGACGCTTTATTCATGTTTCAGATTTAATATTCTAATGTTATGTGTTCAGCATTCATACATCATGTATGCCATATTCCGAATTCCATCCCAATTAGCTAAAGCTTAATTTTTAGACAGAGTGAAGACAATCTGGGATGTATATTTACATATCTTTTACATTAGTACACTGCTGCAGCATGTAAAGGAAGAGGAACTCAATCTAATACCTACTGCCTGTGTATCTATGTGTATCTGTTATCCTGCCCTCCTCCACTGCTAACAACTTCCAAATTCCACAGATGGTTGGAAGTCTCAAAGATGTAAAGTTTCCTATAAATTTTACAAAAATAAGTACTGTTTCTAGGGGGAAAGACTGCTGTGTGATAACACCTTCTACTAAATATCCCTCAATCAAGAAACTACTTGAGTTATTTTGATTTTTTTTTTTTATTATGTATCTATGTATTTCTGAGCTTGTAGTGTTATGAAGTGTGTTTCTTTCTAGAGCTGTTGCAAAAAAAAAGGCGCTAATTGTATCACAAAGGGACAGTTAAAATGGTTTGCAATTAAAAGGACTTCAATTGATGCATTTTTGTAATTTCTGTTGTAAATATATGATTGGATAAAAATCTTGAATACTAGATAATAATTCAATTTTTGAAAACTTTCTAATATACTAGTGAAACATTGTGCAAGGAAATCTTTTGCTGATTATTTCCTGGACTATATGCTATTCAGTGTTATTCCCAAGTGCCCCACAAAACTGCTGAAGCTATTCCTGAATTATGCGAGTACATCTGAAAGGAGTTTTTGCTATTTGCTTTATTAGACTTTGTTGAAACTTATAGGAACTTATTATGATTATTTGTTTGTTCCTTTACTGTATGCTTGTGTATGAGAAATAACTGAAAGAGCTATGTAGCAACTTTTAAAAATGCAATTTGTAAAGCAGAATTAGAAAATATAATCAAGAAGCCTAAGTAAAATCATATTCTGAATTAAATGCTGATAATTGAAAATTAATTCTATATATCTAAAGTTTTTAGAACCTCCCAATATGAGAACACTGTAAAAACATATACTTTAACTGCAGAAAAAAAAATCTCAAATTTGAGCAAGATTAGAATTGTTTTAGTCTTTGCCTATCAATTAGTTGAAGGGAGTGATGCTCAGGAATGTGAGTATAAGAGAAAGAAACTGTCAGAAGGAGGACAGTTTATGAAATGTTAAAATAATAATTTTAGAAGCTTATGGAAAATAATGTTAGGAAAACATTATTTTCATCATGTGAAACACCAGTTTACTGTCAAATACATATTTATAATACATTCTTTTTGGAGTTATTAGTTAAAAATTTTTAATGTGTGTTTTTTCTCTTAGACACAAACAAAAGGTGATGCTTCTGCAGTTGTTCAGTATGGTGAACTATAAATACTCTGTCTTTATATAGGCAAGAGTCACTTAATGATTTCTGATAGTCCCTTACTAAAGACCAAATGTGGGAATCCAAAACTTAAAGATAGTTTTATTTAAATAATAGTTTATTCAACACTGAAGCGAAGGACACTGAGCAGAAGATGGGGGACTGTGCACACTACAGAACTGTAGTTCACAGGCTGACTGCCAAGTAAAGAAAGACTCAGTTACCAGAATCAAGGTCTGAAAACAAACTCATTCTGGATGTAGAACAAAAAATGAATAGATTTTGTGTGTTTATATGTAGGGAGTAGATTTATATATTTTTTAATGTCTGAACACAAGTACTGGTGAAAATAGAAGAAACTCTGATTCAAAGAGCTGGAATTTTGTCCTATAATGGACACTGATTTAGGATTATTTAAGTGAATAAATATTTGCAAGGCAATAATCTGAACTTGTTCTTACAGTGAAAAAGATCAGACCTTGAAAAACTCTGAAGCTTTCAAATGATAATTTGAAGTGATTAAGCTCTTGCTGATTGTCTTTTGAAAACATGACTTAAGGACCTACATCATTTAGGCACTGTTAAAAAACCTTCCACCACTCATGTAATTTAATTCACATGACCTAACCAAGATTAACACTGGGGTATTTTTCTTTGTTGTCCTCACTAGTGGAGGAGTTTGCAAGTTTCCTGTTTAATGGAAATTTCCATGATTGTATATTGATACTGTACTTAAAGTACATAAGCAGGAAACTCTCTATGGTAAAAATTTAAACTTTTCAGTGAATGGCCCATTGGTGATTATTCTGCTATAACTACTTTCAATAAACTAGCACTTACTGTAAGCCAGAAGGTGAGCATGAAGGTTATTCTGTATCTAAGTACCTGAAAACTTTTCCAGTTTGTATTTTGCCATACTTGACAACATGTATACTTGACAACAATGATTACTTTCTTTGGTCGTAAGTGGTCTGTATTTTCAGGGCAACAGAAACTGTGAATAAAAAATGTCCTTGTGACCATGTATTTTACCTCTATATTTTAGGAGTTGTTTTTCATTAGAATGTTAATGGAGTATCTCCAACTAGACCTCTGCAAAATTGTATCACTTCAGTCTCAATTCTTCAACTTCAGTTGTGTGCTTTATTTTCTAACCCTGAACTGTATGTGTTGGTAAAGAAACAATATAAACCCTATAAATCATCTATTAAAACAGTTTATCATCTGTGAATATTGCTTCAACAGCTATTGCTGGATGATCCATTCTAACCAAACATATCAACCCTGGTTATTCATCAGGTTTACATAAAAAATAAGATTATTTCTGCAGCCAGCTGCATCAGAGATGCCTTTAACTGATCAGGTGCACTCTTACCACCAGTGTAAACCAGAAAATGAATAATGTGATAATGAACTGTGTATTTATCAAGTAGACACTGTAATAATGTTGATTTCAATACCTTGCTTAGCTGGTAAACTGATTTTTCTCCATTCCTTCTGGAGTGCAATTTGTATAAAACAGTAAGTTTCCTTGCTGGAACCCTACTAAATGCATTGCTTGTGTGTAATTTGGTATTGAGATGTTTCTTAATACTCCAAATGACAATGAATTATGAATCTCAACAGTGAAATATTTTGGTTTTCCAGACTTCTGATAACAAAAGCTACTACTTTATAAATAGATGAATGCAACTTGAACAAACATAGATAAAAAGTAATATACTTTTTGAGATTTAATTTGATCTGTTGTGTTTCCATTTACTGTCTCAGTGCCTAAACAAAATAAAAATTACAAAATTTTATATTCAGCCCTGCATTATAGAATGGCCTTCAAGTGTAATAAAAGCTAAAGGCCTCTTTTTACAGCCAGGATTTTGGATATGCTATTTATCATTGTTTAAAGAATATATTTTTCTTAATAACCTCTTTAACCTTCTTTGCACACCTACTATGGAAAAAACTTCTATTTGTGAAATATGAAAGCAGTTTTGCATTTCTTTGTAGTAGAAAGTTATTGCCACATGAAAGTATTTTGCTTCCTACTCATGTGAAATTGTACCCTTCCCAAAAGTATTTAGAAAAATATATATGGAAAAAAACTAACCTAATGTCTTAAGAACGATATATTTTTTTTTTTTTTTATCACGATACATTTTAGAAAAGGAAGTCTAAGTTTTTGAAGCCATTATATTTCATAGAATCATAGAATATCCTGAGTTGGAAGGGACCCATGAGGATCATCAGGTCCAACTCCTGACTCCACTCAGGGCAACCTAGAAGTTAAACCATATCACTAAGAGCTTTGTCCAAACACTTCTTGAACACTGACAGGCCTGGGGCCATGACCATCTCCCTGGAGAGCTTGTTCCAGTGCTTAATGACACTCTCAGTTGAAAATGTTTTCCTGATATCCAACCTGAACTTCCCCTGCTGCAGTTTTAAGCCATTCCCTCACATCCTGTCAACGGACACCAGAGATGTGCCTCCCTTTCTGTTCCTGGTCATGAGGAAGCTGGAGACAGCAATGAGGGTGTCCCTCAGTCTCCTCTCATCTGAACAAACCTGGCATCCTCAGCTGCTTTTAATAAGCCATGCCCTCTAGGCCTTTCACCATCTTTGTCGCCCTCCTCTGGATAAATCTGAATATTTTCATATCCTTCTTATATTGTGGAGCCCTAAACTGCATAAACTACTCGAGGTGAGGCTGCACCAACGCTGAATATAGTGGGACAATCACTTCTTTCAGCTGGTTAGCTATACTGTGCTTAATGCACCCCAGGATACAGTTGGCCTATTTGGCTGCCAACGCCTGTTGTTGACTCATATTGATCTTACCATCAACCAAGACCCCCAGATCCCTTGCACAAACACTGTGCACTCAGAGTATTTTTTTTTTTTTTTCCAGAATATAAACAGCAATATTTTTCAGCTTTTTCTGTGAGTTAAAGGGTTGGCTAAAGACACAATAGGTCATAACTTTTGCCTATTGTTAAATGCTACTTATTATGCATTAAGAGCTCACTGCACTGTACAAGATGGAATAGCCTCTGCAATTGGGATCATCTGCTGTAGAGGGAACAATGAGTTTCATGTAGAAAGAGTTGGGCAGAATATATTCATTTTCTATCAGGCTTACCTTAGTAACTTTGTTTTCCATGGGTTTATTTTTCAGCAAATCTCTGGATTGCTCCATATTTTTCTCCTTGCTAAAGAAGTATCAACAATGGTATGTTCAAATCCATTTTTAAGCCTTTTATTATGACTTTGATATATAAATACTGAGCTGGTGGCTGTGTACCTGTTGCTGCTCACATAGTCACAGATTTCTTCTGGTTGTGGTTCTGGTTCCTGAAGACTTGATTTAAATTAAAAAGCCTTGACAAACATGATACAAGCATTTGGAGAATATAAGATAAACAGAATTCTTGGTAGTAGGTACATTACAACTGAAATCTTCAATCTGTCTGAGTAAGGTCTGATTGACTTATTGAGCTCGCACAAGAGCACACTGCTCTGTTCTAAAAAGAGGACCTGCCCTTCTTTTACTATATGGAGCAAGTAATTTATTCCAGCTCAGATAAAAATTCAGCTTATTTTCTTTCCTATTCTCTGTACAGTTACTTCCTGACATACTGTGTGGAGAAGAAAGCATGTGTTTTTTCACTCCATGTTCTTTTTAGCTAGATAGATGGAGGGATGCTCTAATAAGTTGAGGCCCTATGAATTTCATATTCAGTTCCTTGATCCAAAAGGTGTTCTGGGGTTGCAAAGTTGGAGACCACACAAATAAATAAGATTAAATTTATTCTGCAATGGAAAGAGTTTGAACTCAGTAGCCAAATCATTCACTCTTGGTTTATATTTCTGTTCCTAGGTCAGCAATAGCACTTCAGGGATGAGGGAGGGACTCCTCAGAGTTTTTCTCTGTAGGTACGGTCCCCACTTAACCACAGAAAGTTAGTCCGAATCTCAGCTTGAAGCACAACTGAAGCTTATGCTGTACCTCTGCAGTTCAAGTTTCCTCAGGTTTCTCCACAAGAATGGAGATCCCATTCTCGCTGGGCTAGAATTGTGCCTAAGGGTGAAACGTGATCATGAATGTTATATTATCACTCTGCTGATGTGTTTAACATATGCATTTAAGGCATTTTAAAATAATTCAGGTATAATATACTTGCCGTGCTTTCAATCTTCCTATTCTGTGACTCTGGAAAGAGCATGGGTTTATGCAAATCATATTTTAGGTTTGCTTTGTTAAGGCCCCTGAAACAAAAGGTTTGATCGCTGTGTTTTTGAGAGAGATAGAGAGAAATAAAACAGCATTATAACTGCTTTGGGATTTTAGTGTGTGTGTGATTTCCCAATATTTCAGAATGATACCCATCTTTCATTAAGCAAAATATTTTTCCATTTGAATCTACTTGTGAAATACTTTATTGAGCATACAGTGTTAAACTTAATGACTCACAAGGTTTTAGCTCCTCTTAGTTAAAATACCGTCTTGTGTACCCTACACATTTGCAGTGGACTGAAAGGTGTTATAGGAAGGGAGTTTTAAGCAAGTTCTTCCCTTGCTCAAGGAGTCATTTTATGTGTCCGTAGCCATCATAGCTCTTATGAGACTGTTCCTTGTTCTTTAGAAAAGGAATTCGCTTATTCAGTTCTTGGGATGTTTTTTTCTCTCCATTCTTTGAAAGCATTATAAAACCCTAAATTTTTTGTCTTTGCCTTTATTAAAGAATTTGTAGATATACTCGACCAGACTGACTAAAAGTTGTTGGTTCCTTTATAGGAAGTAAGAAATGAATGTTTGATTGGTACTTGCACACTATGTTAAAGTCAGATTGGTGAGACCTACTCTGAAGTTCCAATGGGTAAGAAAAAGGGGGTAAATAGAGACTTCTGATTTAGCAGGTGAACATGATTGGAGGATGTGTGTGAGTATTAGGCTGGTTTGATACTTATATCTAGGACATGAGAATAATTATTATCCTGACAAATAGGTTTAAGAATAGTCCTGGATATGCCACCTCTGTTGTCCAAGATAAGTAGATGAGACATATTGAAACAAGGAAATAGGAAAGCTCTCTCTATCAGTCATTTGCTGTAACCATCTGAAAGAAAAATAGCTTGCAGAATGATTGTGATAACCAATTTTCTTATTAAAGTAGATGAAAGAGAACAATCACAAAGGACTATGGAATGAACCTTCCATTTAATTTCCATAGCAACCAATAAAAACAAATGTTTAACTGCAGTATGTCATCTTGGAGATAGGCAATTGCAACTCATGAAGTTTACTTTGAAAGAAAGGTCAAATTCAATACTTTCTATTTAGAAAAAAAAAAAAAAAAGTGAGAGAAATACTGGTATTCTATATACTAGATATAAACACCTTTTCCTATACAATGCATAAATATAAAAATATGTAAAATACTATACTTGTGTTCCAAAATAGATACCTCTTGTTCATTTCCAGAGAAATTCTTGTAGTACTATTAGCATTATAGAAAGAGTAGCTTATTCCCACTTGTATGAGGAGTTATTGGGCTTGATTCTGAAGGTGAGAGAAAAGAAGATTCAAGTGAGAGTTTATGGTATTGGTCCTTGATTACATGAAGCATGGTACCAAGCATTACAAACAAGAAAAATTAAGTACAAGATGTGTTTTAGCTACATTTTTAAGATCATCAGCTACTCTGCCTAAGTATGTAACACTTCTACCAAGTTTTGAAAAACCCCTGTCACCAATTTACTTGTATAAAACCAAATCTGCAGGACATATCTTGTAGTGACAGTGGAAACTTCTAAGTGAAGAATAGATCTTGGGAGGGTGATTTTTGTGTGTGTGTTTTGTTTTTTTTTTTTTTTTTTTTCTTTTAATGTTATATATCACACCTTCTCATAAGCATGAAGGGATAGACTTTAGTTATCACCTTTATCACATTCTCTCAGGCTTTTATCAGGGCTGCTCATCCACAGTCTGCAGCAAATACCCAACAGTATATGTCCTCCAAAATTTCCAAAGGTTTGCTGTTTTTTGTTTTTTTTTTTTGTTTTTTTTTTTTTTTTATTCATATATTTATTTGGGAAGAATTATGATAGTGTAAGACATTTTTGTCCATAGCTGATTTGATTATTTACTATGACTTTTAGTATATCATAGGAAGTACAAGGTTTTACATGAACATGTTTCCTTTCAGATCAGAATGGGTGAGTGGGAAAAGAGGCATAATGCTATATATAATTATTGTTTTAGGAAAAGTGAAATATATCATAGTAGTAAGATTAATTGGCCTCCTTAATGAATGTACTAAAGAATCTGTTCTATTTTGGGAGTGATTTTTCTGCAATTAACTGAGTACTTTGAACAAATGGGTTGTTCTTTTCTGCATCCTATGCAGAAAATAATTCACCATGACACTGACATGCTTTATCTTCAGAGACATCACAGAATATTATAATTCCATTCCTATAACATTGTGGGAGTTAATGCATTCATTTAGGCAGAACTGAAGCTATACCTTGTGCCAGATCACACATTTCACGATGGCAGCCAAGAAGATAATTTAGTAGGATGATTTCTGCATACTAAGAATCAGTCTAAGAGCATTTTCACTCCTTTAAGTATTCAATTCATGCCTTGTCACTAATTATGACGATAGAAAACAGATACCTTAAGCTTCTGGCAGTTATCCAGCTCAGCCATTCTTTTTGGAGCACTGAGCAGTGTGGGTTCTGCTAGGGTACTCTGATTACTATAAAAATCCCAAGCTATAGTAAAGGTGCTTAACATTAATGTTAGAGCCACGCATAGAAAAAGCAGCTGTTTTCTTATTATCTGCCTGAAAACTACAGATGCATCAAATTTTTGCAGCCAATTTTATCTCTTAGCAGAACAGTAATATGATTAGTAGCATTTTTACAAAGTTACATCTCAGTTTTGATAAGAAAAATATTTGAACATAATTTCATTCTCTTAGTTTATGTATGTCAGTATACTGTTTGCCCCACATACAAACACCAAAATAGGTAAATTGTCTTTTGTTTACCTTTAATTCTTTGTCTCTTAATAATGAGCTTTATTTTGCAGCAATAACATTTTATATAATGGAGTATGTTTCCCACCTTGTATTATTATATTGCCTTTGTTCACTTCTCTGACTTTCAGTGGTATAACAGAATGCAACTATTTATTTTGAAAAATAATGCACTTTTTCATGCATTACTGAATAAATAAATATAACCTTGCTGCTAGTCTCTGACAAAAGTACTAGTAGGTATTATAAGACTCCAGTGAGGAAGAACTTTCCCAGCATAAGATCTTTGAACCTTATAGACTGTTAGATATTTGTTGTTATTTAATATTTCTGAGTTCTTTTTTTCATTACATTTTGTCAGTACTATAGTCTGCGCTTTCAAGTGTGCTATTAAAGATTGCATATTTTTTTTCTTTTTTCCAACTTCTGATGGTCAAAACTTGGAAGAAGATTGTTTTAGAACAAGATGAAAGCTTCTGGGAAATGTAGTTTCAAATCATTGAAATAATGAAATAATTGATTTTTCTTTTTTAGAATATGACTAATAAAATATATTTTCAAATATTTTGAAACATTTTAAAATAACAAGATAACATGTTTGTTTTTCTGATGTAGATGTAGTCAACAGCAGTTTCCTATGGAATTTAAGAATTCTGCAACAAAAACATTCTAACCTGATTCTGCTGTAGCAATATATATATATATATTTATATTTATGCCAATGATTAAGTGAGTAGAAACCAAAGTTTTGTGACCTGGGACCAGTTCTTTGGAGTAATTTTCATTTGAAGATGGTGGGAGTTACTCTTATTCTTGGCAAAATATACAGCATCCTGCTCATGAATTTACTCTTGGGAATGACTGTTCATGATTATTTGAGTTGTTTCTCCTCAACATCCCAAATAATAGAATGGAACAAACTTCTTTCATGATTATTAGAAATCTTTAAAAATTACTAGCTTATTTAAATAAAAACCGCTTATGTTTGGTGGTATTCCATGTGAACGTTTATTAACTAAAAAAAAAAAAACAAAAACAAAAACAAAACAACAAACTATGTTGAGCCGACAAAATTCAAAATCCAAGCCAAAATAAGAGGACACTAAAATCTCTTAATTATATGAAGATTCACAGGTGTGGAAGCCATATTGTCTTAAAATCTTCCTCCATAAAGACTCAATGCTAA